TTACGAGGCAAGCTCGTATACCATTCAGCCAATGGAACCCTACTCCATGGCTCATGAATTCTAACCTCTACCAATTCGTGATTTAGCGCGACCACCAACCAATGTCGTTGGTGGGACATCCATCCTCACACGTCACATCTAATTGGACCTTACTGGTCACGACTTCTCACTAGAACTCCAGGAAACTCCATCCTGTAGCAAGTCACTAGCGAGGATCGGATTAATTTTCTATAGTTTGGTTTGTAAGGGTTAGTTATTTCATTGAGTTCAGCCAACAGAATCATACTGGTTGTCACAACGTGACTGAATGTGTATTTAACGCAGTTTGAATGAACTGTGTCTTCTATTCTTCTTTTGACTAATGTACTCAGTCTTCATCACCAATGGAACGAAGGTATAATCTGGTGTTGGTCTTTCAGATTGTACTTAAGGATGTATTATTGTTGTCATTATTATTACCACCTTATGTTCAGAGTGGAGGAAAGGGCCTCAACAGCGCATCCCCATATCGTCTTGTTCTCTGCAGTACTTTTTATCTTCTTCCGTGATTGCCCGCAAGCTCTCATCTCCTTCTCATTTGATCGCCTCCATTTCATCCCCGAAGCCACGTTCAACTAGTCGGGTACCACTAGAGGGCCTGGCTTGTGATATCACCCAACTGTCTCCTCAACGAGTGTCCGATTTTGTCTCCATTTGCTTCGGAATATTTGTTGAGCAAGAAGCCCTTGATTGGTTCGTTTCCACAGTTTCTTGTTGCTAATTGTTTTTGGCCGGTCATCTGATCTTCAATATGAAGCCAGAAAAGACACCTATTGCCTGTTCAAAATACGTTTGCTGAAAAGCACGCCAAGTTTCTGACTTATATAGAAGAACTGACTGACTGACTGATGACTTAACACTGGTGCTGTAAATCCGTAATTCTTTCTTCATGGTAGGTGCAGAAAACTTCGAAGCTGATTCAGGGTGATGAAAGTCTGTTTTGCCTTTCCGATCCTGAATGTTTTTGGACATCCTCATTCTAGTTGTCCACCTGTAGTTGAAAGGATGTTTCCTTGATAAGTGAATGAAATGACCGCTTTCAAATTTCTCCCCGTTGATAGTGATTGGTGCTTGTTATAGCCGGTTGGTTATCTTTATCATCTCTGTCTTCTCTATGTTCACTTGCAGTCCTGTCTTCGCTGTTTCTTCTGCCAGCTTGTTGGTTTACGCTTGAATATCTTGTAGTTTGCGTGATATTAGGCATAAATCGTACATGTAGTCCACTTCTTCTACAATCTTCTTGTCTGCTCAACATATTCCCGTCTTCTCGCTTTCCATTGGTCTTCCACATGATCCAGTCAACCAAAATTAAGAATGTCATCGGTGGCAGTAAATGACTATGTCTTACTCCTGTCTTCACTTCAAAGCCATAGCTGAGTTTTTTTTGTGAATCATAAAGCTGTCAAATGAGGTTGACAAAGGTTTAGGACATTCCTTAGTGTTGAAACAGTTTCAGAATCACTTCCAAGTCAACACTGTCAAAGGTCTTTTGAAAGTCGATGAGGTTGAGATAGAGCCTTAACTGCCATTCTATGCTTTGTTTGATGACAACATGTAGATTTGCGATTTGATCAGCACATAATTTGTTTTTCCCACATCCAACCATATCAGGGCAGACTTATGCATCTGAAGCATCATTTCGTCTTTCCAGGATGGCGCAACTAAGTATTTTACTTGACCTGTACAAGAGCATTATTCCGTACCAGTTCTTGTAGAAGCCTAAGTCTCCCTTCCTTGAAAGTCTGACAAGATAGCCTTTCTTCCAACCAATATGTATCTTTCTTTCCTTCCAAAATTTGTGCATCAGTGGCATCAGCATATTCGTTGAGGTTACAGACTCCATTTACAGTGCTTCCGGAAGAATTTTGGTTTGTTCTGCTGTCTTCCGGACTTTCAGTAGATTAACTAACTGTATTCCAGACACCTACTTCATTCAGATGACTGGTATTCTCTGACAGTTCTGTGGATGTTGGTGTTATTTCTGAACGAGTTGCAGGTAGTGGTTGGTTCAAGAGTCCTTAACAGTGGTCACTCCAACATTTCCTTTGTCCCTCCTCTTTTGTAATTAGGCACCCTTGACCATCTTTTGAAAGCTTCATCTGTGTTGATCTCTTCCCAAATAGCGATCAGGGCAATGTGGCATTGTGATCTGAGGTCCCTCTTACCTGCAGCCCGTTGTGCTTTAATGGCTAGTGTGCAGTAGAATTGTCTTTTGTCTTTCCTAGAACCGTTCTTCACTTATTTATTCCGTGAGTATTAGACGGGACTCAGCGGCAACTTCCGCTGTCCGCTTTGCATTGGTTCATCTTCTGTTTCACCATCCTCCTCTCCCCCATCGGCCTCCGGCTTGTGTTTTTCATCTTCAGATATATTTTCTTTTATTCCTTTACGTTCTCAGTGGAACATAGGGTTTCAAGCTAAAGGCTTGAAGTTTCAGTAGCAGTAGTGTTTATTTTTACGGGATTGAGTTGCTAGTCTCATGCCCAACCATCCTTCTTTGCCAGTGCTATTACTAGCATAACGAGGTAAAGAAGGAGTGCGTCGGCCGGGCGGGGATTGAAACCCCTGCATGGCTGGCGAGAAATCTACCACTGTGCCACCAACGCACATGAATGCATACATATGACTGAAGTTTAAGGATGTCTGCCTTCAAAGAGGCTAACAGCATTAATCGGCATGTATAACGACCGTAACGAAGCGGCACAACGAAAGTATCATATATTTAATGTTGCTGAATTGGTGTTCTATAAAACTATGTCCTGAAGTAACGTCTGTCGTGCTGAATTGAGTCTTCAGATTGCCATTAGTGAATTAAAGTTTTCATGAGGAAAAACACAGTGTTTGTTCAGGGCAGAGATATTTCTTTACAACGACCCCAATTTCAAACTTTATAGTCGTATCTATTATCCGAAAAATGGCCTTAGGTGTCACTAAAAATTGTTTAGTTAATATACACATGATAAGAATAATGACAGTTGACATAATGTTGAAGAGGGTAACGTTGAATTGAATGAATTACAAAATCTTTAAAGGTTATTAAATGAGTGAATTAGTGTCAACATTTTAAAATAGTAGGTCAAGTTTTGTCTATAAAATTAAGAGTACGATGATGCTAAAAATAAAGAAAGTAAAGTGAAGTGAAATGAACTCAGGTGCTGAGTTGAAAAGAATATTACTATGACCGAATGTAAAGAAATGGGTTCAACAAAACGTTTTCGAATACACAGTTTAAGTTTCGGAGTGAATGACTTTGGCCATGTAGATTATTTTCAAGGTTAAATCGTGTGGAGCTGAATAACCTGACTCTGGAAAGTGTTCACAAATGGGAGGCTTCTTCATCTTATACTCGCCTTTCATCAACCAAACCGTGTAGTGTCCATCTAGGTGCTCTTAGAGATCAAACATAAAATGGCCAATGCAATCAGCTCCACATGAGGACACAAGTGGTAGCTTATCCTTGATGCATTGTCGAATCATATTTCTGCTGGAAAATACAAACTGTAAGTCAGTGGCATAAAACGAGCGTTCAGTCCACGTAGATAGTAGACTTCTGATTATTTCAGCAATGCTGTCACCTCTGAATACTAAACTCATAAACTGTGTCTTCTTTGACACTATGATTTGGCTAAGTGAGGTTTATTTATTCATGTTTCTTTCAATAAACCTTCTACGATATCCATTACTTAATAGTGCTGTGTGAGGGTTTTCCACTTCTGTATTTTGTATTGTCCGTAGCGCAAATTTTCCGAATTCTGGAGAATAGAAAATAGAAAAGATTTCTTTCCCTACCTAGAGGTAACCAGCTGATGAATTTAGTGTACTACCCTGTGAAGTTTGGCTTTCAGTAGATCTACATTTTCAATGTGCCATCCTTTCGTCTATCTGGCGTAACATCTAAGAAGTGAAATGAGGTATTCGACTATTCTTCGATAGCTGAAAGCATAAATGGGTGACAATCATTCAATCTTCTGAGGGCTTCAGCAGTTGAAAAGTTTCCATCACAAATAATGAAAGTGTCATCCATAGATCTGCTATACAAATTCAGACTTGAGGCGGTTTCTTTCAGTAGACTCATTGTCTAAACTCACCATGAAGACATCCACTAAGGAAACTAAAAACGGTTTTAATCTCGAGTATTTCTCAACTTATTTATATTTTGCTGTGTAAATCAGGTCTAAAATAATTTAAGACATTGAAGATGTGTGTAACCGAATTGGCAGGTTCACTGGAAAACCAAGAAGGGTGGTCAGAAAAACACATGACACTAACCAGAATGAAGTTTTCGGCTGTTGGTTTTACTCGAGTAAGGAAATGTCAGCTACCCAGCTGCAGTTCTCGGAATGCTAAAAAATTAATGACTAAAGACCATTGGCCTGAATGGCTCACAATCATTCTCAAAGGAGAAAGTGTCTCCTCTCATGTTTTATCACGCAAATTTTAAAATTTCTCCCCAATATTCATCTAAATATCATTCTTTATTCATTGTATTTACGATACCTATCTTCTGTCTGATGTCTGTATGACTTTCGGAAGAGTAGCTTGTTGAAATGATATATATTTGTGGCAATTTACACGTTGGTAAGATAGTAAGTCAGTTCTGTATGTATAATACAACGCGATTTTTAAAAATACAAACCATATCTACTTTATTCATATTAAAATTAAGTTTTATTTATGTCATTTATCTTAACTTTGATATTTATTTTTTAATCACATTGCTACAATAAACACCTAATTCATACATGCCATCGTTATTCACCCTTTAAACATTCAAACAAATTCCGCGCGAAAACAAAAATAAATACCATTGGACATTGAACTTATAACTAGTAGTGATCACTAATAACAATGTACATATCTCATCATTCATAGTTCAATGTATTAAACTTGAAAAACAAATCTTTTGTACTAAAATATTATCTCCTTTTAAATATATAAAGTAATTATTATTTACTAATCTTGAAGTACTTGATCAAAGAACATATTTTCATTTTAGAAATATTTGTTTCAACCTTATAATTGTTTTAATCTTTTTGAGTAAAACTCTCAAATATAAACACAGCAGATTTTGTTATTAATTAGTAGTGATAGTTGATAGTGATAAGGAGAAACTGAGGTAGAAAACGATGCTGGCTAAAATTTTCATTGTCTTATTTTTGACAGGTAAGCAATATGAATGCACATATTGTGATTTTAACTTATAAAATTATATATGTTTAGGTTTATTGAATACAGTGTCCAGTGATGATTCTCTGGTAAGATTCAACTGAATCCCGTATTTTCTATTGTTTTTCTTATCTATTTTAATTTGAGCACCAGTCATGTTTCAAATGTTTCAATAGTGTTTTAAGATAAAATCCGAGTATCTTAAGGTCATATAGTGTGTAGTTATATCATGGCTACCATATTTAAGGTAAAAATACTTAATTATAAAGTGGTCATTTGTAAGGAGTCTGACGGGCTACAGATTTGATCCCGAGTGGAATGGTAGAATTTTGGGATACATGGGCTACTGGATTGGGTTAATCCTGCTAAATGGTTAATGAACTCGCCTTCTCACTGGAGAGTTCCAGGTTAGAACCCTAATTATTGCATGCTGCCAAAGAGTCCCAGGTTAGGACGAAACAGATATCCAGTATTCTCTGATTTTCATATAGTTCTTTAAATGATGTCAACTGATGATCGAACCTAGAAAATACTTAGCTTTTCAAGCTAATAGATTTCAATCAGGTTGTTATACACTACTTATATTCCGAGTGATTCTGTCCCATCACTCTTAGGTGGGGCTCACCGACAGCCCACAATACTTTCATTACCTCTTCACCTGATTTTCCCTGTGTAACCTGATATCTAAAGCGGGGAAATTGCTTATACACAGTTCCAGATCATTTTCACCGAGTGTGTCAGAAATATGTTGACGTATAAAAAATTTTATGATACAAAATTGTCTTGCAGTAGCCCCGAAATGTTTGGCAGATCAAGCCAAAAAATGTCAGTTGTTTAAATACAAGATTAGCAGTTTGTCCAAACAAATAAATATCACAGTCACTAATAAAAACCAGCAAATATACCAACCTGTCTTATGTTGAAACTATTGTAAAGAAGGCTGTAACAGAAATAATGATATCGTTAAATAGTCCTATAATCTCAGCTATTAATGATTTTAATATAGATGATAATAGCTTTATTTTGAACAGTGTTTAATACAAACATTTGTAAAAATTATATTTGTAAAATCTCAGAGAAATTGAAATCAGTAATTCCAATGTTTCCTACGTTGGACAAACTAGTTCGAACTTCTTCAGAGAAATTAATCGAAATTAACATAACAGAGGTTTATATATAAAAAGGACATCTCTTTTTTTTTAAAAACTTTGTCCAATCATATGAGTCATGAAACAGGTATCAACATGTATAATAAGCAAAATTGTATGAGCCATGATCAAAATTTGACCTCAGACTTTCTTCTTATATTAGTCTACTCTTGTTAAACACTTTAAACAGAGTGTACTTTTCATCAGATTACGTTCGACTAAAAGTTCATGGTCGTAGATATTTCCTATCAACATTAAATAGTGTCTTTCTATGGTCCTATCCCAGAGATTGGATACCTTGTCAGTAACATTTAAATTTGCTTTCTCATAACTTTATTGCTAGTTAGTTAGTTTTTAGAAACTGGATCTATTTCAAGTGTCATCATGAGCTGATATCATATAGAGAACCATTGGAAATCAACCAGTACTGGACGGCTATTTTCTCCTAGTTTTCAACACTACAGCACCACCCACCCACCAGGACTCGTACCCTGGACCTCTCGGTTACAAGGAGACTTCGTAAATCATCCAGCCATTGGCATCTGAACCAAAAGCCCTTGAATTCCAGCTTCTACCAATTCGTGAAAAACAGCCAATGCCATTGGCAGGTACTTATTGCCACTCCCGATATAATGGACCTCGTTGTTCAAGGCTTCTCACTAGAGCTCCAGTCAGCTTCATATTTTAGCTAGTCACTAGCGAGCGTCAGATTGATTTCCAAGAGTTTTGTTTTGTCTTCATGGCTGGTTAACACTTTTCTCATGTGCTGCAAACAAACGTGATGCGAAAGCCATTATCAAACCTAGCAACTATCCCATCACGAACAGAAGCTATGATCTAGCCTTCAGTAGACTATAGAACATAAATATTGGTTTCAAAGTTAAGAGTGAAAATCGGCAGCCACTTAGGGGAGGAATTTATAACAGGACAGTATAAACATTACTTGAAACTTTCATAACAGATATCATGTCTGGCTAACACTCTGTATTCATTAACATTTGATAAAAATAGGATAAATTCTCTTCTAGATCCTTTAAAGAACCATTGAAAACTACAGATAACTGGACAGCTGTTTCTCCCTATCCTGGAACACGTCAACAATATGGACCAACTTTTGACCCCACAGGGAATCGAGCCCAGAGTTCTTATTTCACTAAGTGATACAGTTGATCATTCAGCCACTGAGATGGAATCTGATTTTATCTATGGATTCTAACTTCTGTCAATCAGAGAGATGTGTAGCGACACCACCAGCCAGTGTCATCGGCGAGTAACTGACCTCTCACCTGATTTGGTGAACCCCAGTAGTTACGACTACTCACAACAACTCCAGGCAACTACATTCTGTAGTCAGTCATCAGTGAGCATATACATATATATAAACTTGTCACTGGCTAGATTGCACGACAGTATTAACTGATGATATTGTGTCTATTTATTTTTCAGGAATACCAAAATGAAGTAAACAAAAATGGATATGTCACGTGTAAGATTGAACATATTTATTTTTCCATTCACAGTGATTAATAAATTTTGAATTTTCATTAATAACATAACATATGAATTTTAAAAATACTAATAGGAGGAGTGTAGAATAAAATTATAACTGAAATAATGCCTTATCTATCTATCCCTGATCCATCCGTGATCTATCTATCTATCCGTGATCTTAGAAAAAGACATATAAGCGAACTATATTGTTTTCAATTAGATCTTCAGGCTTTACTCTAATTTAAATAGATTTATATATAAAATTTTAACCAATGACGGTGATTTTGGGAATCAAATAATAATGTGGTAAATGTTTTGAACGTAGTTAATAACGATGATTATAATGATAACAACAAAATATTGATAATAAGGTTTATGCAGGTGATAAGAACAACAAAGATAGTATAGATATAGTATATAAGTGTATAAATAAATTGGGTCAAATCTAAAAAGGTGAAGTGGAACGATAATCAGAGTTTAAATAAATATGATAAAAGTACGAAGGAGGTGGAAAATAAGAAAGGGTGGGAGGGTTTTGAATAGAATTCACCTAGGCCAAGCGAGAGACAAAGGTAGAACAAACTTCTTTTGTATGCAAAGACTAGGATTGTTCTCTCGAATTCCCATAGCTTTGGCTAGGTGTAAAAGACGGGTTCGAATTCCGTTCGAAAGGCTGGATGGAATACGATAGATAACTTTGAAGGCACTATTTTTGTGCACTTGGTGACCGCTATCAATCAAATGAGCCAAAATAGAACTTCTTATAGATTTTATTTGACCTTTTCCGAACCATGAAGGAAGATGCTCATTAATGCGTTTTTTAAGCTGTCTAGTTGTCCGCCCTATATAGCTCTCTACACAGGAGCAACTAAATTTATAGATATACATAGAAGTGGCACATCTAGGTAGCTTGTCTTTCACTTGAACAATCATAATTGGTCGGCTGGAAAATGACAAACAAAGGGTGGTGGCAGTATAAGTCTGTTTTATCGCTCTCGATAATCTCAGATGTAAGACTTCGCTAGCCACGTCCCCATTAAATTGCAATTTCATGAGCAGTTGTTTCTTTTCAACTGTTGTCAGTTTCTCTTTATTGTACCTGGTGTTCATGTGTCTCCTAACAAATCTATTTATCTATCTATCCATGATCCATCTATATATCTATCTATCTATCTATCTTATTATCTATATATCAGTGATCTATCTATCTATTGATGTGCGAATAATATCATGATGCTTAAACTGAGAACTCGTTAGTAGAAAAAATCCAATAGAAGCAAGGTCATACACCTTGGACTGGCCGTAATACTGCATAGATTAGTCAACTAAAGTAACACAACACCGTTTGCATATCTTAGATATATTAACTGTCGTACTGCTATAACTGTAAATAAATCAAACTGGGAACAATGCCCAAATAACTGTTTCCCATTCAAGTATCACCTCAAGACCATTTTGTAGCGTCATCTTAATCAAAGGTGTCCTCGCTGTGTGTCCGATCCATCTCCATTTTCTTAAGAATATTTGTTGAGCAATTGGTTCTTGATCAGTTTATTATCAGAGTTTCAAGTTATTAGTCTCTTCCCGCCATTTGATCTTCAGTATGGTGTCAAAGCATCTGTTCATATTAAGTTCTGACGAATAAATGACATATTTTACTGTCACTTACAGGCTGTAAAAAACGCTCAACGATAATCAAAAAAGCAACACAGAGCTTTGCACAAAAGTTTATCAGTTCAGTTTTCAACCTGTTGAAACACTGCATAAAAGAGAATACAGTCGCAAAATAATATTGTAGCGATGAGCAAATGTGAATCAAAGAGTATAGTGTAATAAAGTACAGATCAGTAAAAAATACTTGTAATTTTTATATATTTGTTATTGTATCCAAGATAAACTTGGTCTAGGTGCATTCTACCTAAAATTTAACGCACAACAATATACACTTGATTACACGATTCCTATTCCGATACTGAGAAAAAACAGAAAATATACTGACAGGGCGAAGATCTATTGCTCCAGGGAAAAGGCAACATGACTAGAAACTGTCCCTTATTACATACTTACTTTAAATGACCAATAAACTACGAGTGCAAGGCATGAAAATCATGTTCTCAGTGGACAGCATATACACTTAAAAATCCCATGATGTGACCTTCAGTCTGAGTTTGGATCGAATGTCTGATTCACAGATGACATGAGAAACACTAATTCATAATAAACCCCTAACATCTGTCTAACAGTGATCAGTTTCTGGTCATACCATCAAGCGTCTGTAGTAGTAGGACCTTTACACCTAGGCAGAAAAAAAACTTAACGTAGTTCAGATCAAAATTCTGTTAATTGATCAGGCAGTAAGGCTTTCTGGCCCAATCACCTTAAATTGTCACATTACTATTAATTTTTATTATTCCCTTGAGTTCTGAGGGGAATATAGGGCTTCAAAAGCAAATCTCAATTTTGTCCTGTTCTTTGCAGCCCTCTTTAGCTGGTCTCGTGATTCCACATGAGATTTCATCTCCTTGACACACTAATTTCACCATCTCACTCATTGACCAACGCCTAACTGGTCGTTTCTTGTCTGGTTCCTACTTGAGGCCCGGTCTGGTGCGCAACGCCATTCAACGGTCTCCTCATTTTATGTCCGATCCAACTCTATCTTCTTCAGAATATTTGTTGAGTAATAGCTTCCTGATTGGTTCGTTCCCAAAGTTCCATGTCGCTAACTCATTCTGGCCACCCAGCCATCTGATCCTCAGTATGGGACCAGCGAAGGCAACTGTTGATAAAAGTCTAAAGTCCGTTCAAAATGCTTTTGGTGACGTACGCACTAAGTTTCAAACCCACCATATAGAAGAACTGACTAGCTTAACATTGGTATTGAAAATCCGAATTCTTTTCTCTATGCTAAGTGTAGCCGACTTACAAACTGATTTCAGAATGACGAAGGTCTGTCCTCCCTTTCCAATTCTGGATTTTCATTCTCAACCGTTTTGTCCGCTTATAGGTGAAAAGGTGCCGCCTCTTTCAAATTTCTTCCACTGATAAGGACTGATACCTGTTGTTGCTGCTGAAAGTTTAACTTTGCCTTCCAAGTAGAACATGGGGCTTAAAACTTGAGCCTTGAAGTTCCAGTATCGATGGTATTGTTCTTACAGGGTGGGATTGCTAGCCTCACCCCCAACCTTCCCTCTTTACAGAGCTTACTATTGGCTACGTAAGATTTAGGGTGCATTAACCAGGAGTCGTACCTGGGCCCTGTCCATGGTTGGCGTGTACTTCATTGAAATCCACCTCCACAGGTTTTATGTCATAGATTTAGTAGTCAAAACTGAACAATCACGTACGTCCATGTGTGTATGTATCTGTTTTTCACATTTTAGTTTGTGAATTATGTGTCACAAATGTACGTCGTATTCGATCGGCACTATTGCACGACTACGTAAGAGAAATGATGGCCAAACTGTTGAGTGTCACATGCAGTTTCATACCTTATCGTAAACCACGTGCAAAGGTAGGTTTTATTCATTTGAATTTGCTATTCTTGTTATTTATCAAACAAAATTATTTATATTTCAAATGACAAATAAAAAACAGGATGTTACAACTGATTAGAATCACCAGATCCTGTAAGTATACAATACCATAGTTAAACATAAAGAAGAATAGGCTCTCTGAAGTAAATTATTTCCTAAATAAGTCTTTCCCCGGTGTAGTATGTGGAATTCGGGGAACATGTAATTACAGCGCATGAAAAGAAATATTTGCGAGAGGGGATAATATACCCATCATTTTCTGAAGCAAAAACTGTAGTCTTTAATGAGCTTTAGGTAACGAGTGAACATTGATCCTGAGTACAGTGTGTTAGAATACCCACCTTTCATATCAGATAGGCAAGTAATACAGTATGATTCACACTAATCTTCAGACAAAATGCGCCAGTGACACTCATCGGAGAATCTGTGTTTTTTGTACTTTATTTCATGTAAGTGTAGAACTTGGGCACTATGGTGTAGAATGTAATTCCAATTCCATATTGGATGAGTTTATTTTAAATATCACACAGTGATGAAGCAGTATTAACAACTGGATGACAAGGTTTCGAGTTGGCATTTGAACCAACTGACAAACCCTCTCAAAGACAAACTTTGTCGGCCAAACTATCCAATTAGGAAGAATGTATAATTAACCAAGCACCATGTAATGACTGTCAGTGAGGTCAATTACATAGGTCAAACTAGTAGATCGAGGTCCTCTAGATTATTTTTTTTATCCTTCACGTTCCCCAGTGGAACATAGGGCTTCAAGCTAGTGGCTTGAACTTTCTATAGCAGTGTTTATTTTTTAGGATTGGGTTACTAGCCTCATGCCCAACCTTTCCTCTTCACCAGCATTAATTCTGGCTTAGCGAGGTAAAGGAGTGTGTCGGCGGGGATTCGAACACCGGACCATGTGCATGGTCGGCGAGCGTCCTAACCGCTATGCCACTGACGCACATCTAGATTATTGGAACATAAAAATTTAGCTAGACCTAGAGGGTCAGAGACAGAGTGGAAGCACTAAAAAGTAATACAGTTAGGTGGAGAGAGAGAGAAGTTAAGCACTGAATCTTTATTTATGGATTCAACGCTGCACAGGCTCAGTCGGAATGAGGCAACGTCTATACCGGAGATGTGGAAAGTGGCAACAAACATCAAAGGGAAGTTGGAGAGACAGAAAACGAGAAAAAACACATATAGAACAAAATGTGAAGACGTTTGACTAAATTAGTATGATTATAAGAGATAAATTATGCTCGAAATCTTGTCATCCAGTTGTTAGTACGACATTGCTGTGTGATATTAAAATGAACTTATCTAATATGGAATTTCTTGAACTTTGACTGTAGAGTGTATTTCATGCAGACATATTTATTATATAATAAGAAACGAAAATTCTGAGACATAATGAGATTTTAAAACATGCACAGCAGACAAAAACTAAATGTCCCGTTGATGCATCAAGTCTGTCTTGTAAGTAAGTAATCGACGATGGAACATAGTACTTCAACAGAACATTTCCATTCCACTATGTTATCCTCAGTCCTCTAGAACCGGCCCTACTATTTCCCATAGGCTGCCATCTCATCTTCACATGATCTCCTCCAGGTCACTAGAAGACTCACGCCCAACTCGCCGTTTCTCATTTGAGTCCCCCTACATTGATGTCACTCGACCGTTTCCTCAGCGCATTTCCGATCCAACTTCACTTTCTCTAGAATATTTGTAGACCAAAAGGTTCTTGATCGGATCGTCCCCAGAGTTTCTTGTGGCTAATCTTTCTCACCAGTCATTTGATTTTCAATATGAATTCAGCGACGCAGCTATAGATGCAATTTTGCAGCCCGTTGAAAGTGCTTTTCTCCACGTGAGTGCTAAGTTTCTGACCCAAACAGAAGACCTAACTGACTCAACATTGGTGTTCTTTGTGTTGACGACAACGGATTTGCAAAGTTTCAGAGTGATGAATGTCTGTACTGTTCCTCCAATTCTGGTTTTGACATCCTCACCCGTATCGTCTACCTGTAATTGGAGCTGATTCCTAGGTAATTGGAGGAATTGATGTCCTTCAAATTTATTCCGTTGAAACTGGTTGAAGATCTTCACTTGGGTTATCAGTTAATATGTGATAAGAATTTATGAATACACATTAATCCATTCTAAAATTTCGATAGGACAAGATTATAAATATTATAGAGAAGGAGGTAGTTTCATCTCCTGTTAGGAAAATCTAACAACTTAATCTTTTAAGAACCATACCAGCTCCTCTGGAATGAAAACGAGACCTCTTCCTCTTTTTCTAGTGTTATCCAATAATGCTGATTGATCCAGATGTGTTCATTCCTTTATCTTCGAAACTTCTCAGTCATTCTAACCTCTCTTTATTTAATGCAGCATCATCATAACTGTGCTCCATTATTTAACTCATACCTTATTGAAGCGTGGCAATTTCATCTAATGAAGATCTGTACACAACTCTGCGCCTGTCGATCAACATTCTGAAAAAGCCTAAGACGGCAAATGATACTGTCGAAGAATTCTGAGTCCACTTTTAGGTATAAGCAGTTCACCCATTTCTTTTAATTTTCTAGCATGTATAAATGGAAACGCAGCTCAACCTCACACAGAGTTAACACCATTCAACCTGAGACTACTTGACAGTGTTTCGTCTCTCTAAAAACAAACACTTCCATCGAATATAACGAATTCAGAGTTGTGCAACAGAAACATGCTGAACTAATAATCGTAGCAGTAATAATAATAGATCCTGCAGCATACAATGCTCTCTGACCTGAAGTACGAACCAATCCATTGTGACATCTCTTCCTTGCCTTCTTCGAGAAATGTACTACATTTGGTCGGAAGCCAATTAGAAAGGTTGAGACTCAAACACACAACTCATGAACAGTCATCTCACCTACTGACATACGATACCAGTCAAGATTATGCTTTTTCACAAGTCTAATAGAAACTTACTAACCGGCACGTTGTCAACATTTTTAAACATCCACGAGAGTAAGTAATACTATCAAGGGTCATATTTCCTTGGACTGAAACAAACTGAACAATAGAAATTATATGCGATATAATAAAAGAGGTTTTCAGGTTTGAAAAGGCCTCCGAAGATTAACTTATCGATCGTAATTTGATCAACTGTATATTTGTTTATTTATTTATTCATTTGTTTATTTGCCTATTCAGTGTAAAGCCTTCTTCAATGGTCCATTCCAAGAGAAACTGCATGATTTCGCTATGAATATGAGTGTTAATGAGCCATGCAGAGTAAGTTTTTTACATAGATTGCCTTCTCTTTTTTTGTAACATTGTTGATGTTTCATATGTCTAAATTCTGGAATTCCAGTTTGACAATTAGCTGTTGGTTTGGAGTTCATGCTAAAGTCACATTCCAATACACACCAACTTACAGCAGTAAATGATGGTGTCATTCCAATGTCGGTTAGGGCACCAATAAAAATTAGGAGTGATGGATAGATATTTAGCTCTATTTTGAGATAATCCCGAGGTAAACGCTTACAGCCCCACCGTAGTTTGAAACAGTATTCGGCCAAAGGGATTGAGCTTTAATGACAGAACAAAAGAGTATTTGACAGCGTTTCTATCTATTGGCAATTCCAAGTACACATTTTAACAAAATACGTCTACCATGTATTGAAATGATAATTTACACATTTCTTCCACATTGTGCTTCTGTGCCTTGTCTTCCTTTCATGTTTTCTATGTTGTTTCACAAGAATCGTTTATCTCTTCTTTTTGCAATTACATCCATCTCTCCACTATTCGGTATTTTTGCATATGATATACAATATTTATATGTGCATCTATATACTACTTATAAATCTCGTCAGTAGCACGCGTCAAAGAACCATCAAAATACTACTCTCTGGTGAAGAAGAAATTTCCTGTTAACACTTATGATCTGAAGTAGTACTAATGTTGACGTCTTGCCTGAGGTTTAAAACTCTCCCAACAAAATGAAAAACACAGAAAAGAATAAGTTTAAGAAAAACCATTTTGTTGTACATTGGAGGATTGCGTTAGTATTTGCAGGGATTGATGAGTCATTTAAATTGAAAACATTAAGACTTTTGACAAATTTATTTCCTCAAGTAAACTATGTATCTATTTATAAAGTAGTTAATATTCGAAAGCAGTTAGTCATTAACATGGTGCACACTGAATTTTTGTTATTAGATGGTTGGAGGCAATCAGCTCAGTGGTAACTTTTCTGACTCCAACACTAAGTGACATTGTACAAGGTAGAAAACGAAGACCAGGTGAAGGCAGGCTTATATACTATCTGGTATTTCTATGTAGAAAAATTGTCTATGCCTTATCTTCAAATCATTAATATGCACAGATCTTCTGTGTCGTGCTACTACTTGCCTTCCTCCAAATTGTGCTTTTTTTGTTCCTTTCACGTCATCTCCCATGTATCGCCACAACGCTGTATCATTTGCTTTCTCTCACATCATACCTATCTCCCTGTTATTTGATATTTTCATTTTGATTAACGTCTCTTAATAAACTACTGATAAATCTTATCAGTAGCACATGCCACAACATTGGTTCGAATCTCAGAAGGTACGTGAGTTCCGTCGAGATTATAGATGCTCCTTGCTAACTGATCAGGGTCAACAAGCTGGAAACCTACGTTCAACCAAAGTTTCCTGCCAATTGCCTCCAACCATCTAGGAGCCATATTTTATCATAATCATTTCTTTACTTTCGCTTACAGTACATCGGAGTATGTCTTACTGAACAAAATGAAATGATGACTGAAGATGTTTCATCTTGTAAGTTATTTTTTTAATGTGTCACGTAACTGTTTTGTGAGTTAAAACAAGACTGTGAATATTTTCAAACGAACATCATATTCACTTGTTACTGGTTAGCTCTTCAATAGCCTTCGGAGTGTTTGAATGAAGACAGTATGACAAATGAGGTTAAATAGAATGACCACTTGTTTAATATTCATATTTCACAGTTCAATGTTATCTAAGCGGAATAATGATTATTGAATTCAATTTTAGATTTTCCCGTCGATTGATTGGACCGAAGTGCTCGGTCTCAGGTTGACATGTCGGCTTCTTGTGCAGATACTTCGACAACGTCTGGACATGTAATTGGAAGTTAATTGGTGGATGGTGACCAGCAGTGGAATCCAGGATACGCATTTCGTCCTATTCGGCATTCGTCAGATGGATGTAACTGCATTCTGCAGTGAATGGGAATGTCCCGTCGAGTCTCACCGCTCACTGCGGAATGCAGGTGCATCCATCTGACGAGTCCCAAATAGGACGAAATACGCATGCTGAATTGTACTGCTAGTCACCATTCACCAATTAATTTCTAGATTGATGATTAGGTAGAGTGTTTATTCATGCGTCACATATATGACTGGGTGATAACGTGGAGCAAGAAGCCTGCGATACTTATCAAAATATAGACACCCATTCATTCAAGTGACAGGAAGCGGATTATGTAATAACTTAACAATCACATACTGTGATCTACTTGAATAACAGTTGGGTGGTTTGTACTGATTCGGATCTTTGATCTGAGTCAAATCTAGTACACGGCTTGTGATCTCTGCCGTCCGATATTTAGGTCACATCGATCTGGTTATCAAGCACTACTGACTGACATGGGTAATATAAAAATTACCCACTTCAATCAAGCAATGGTGTATAGCTTTATGAAGAAAGACAATCACTGTAGCGCTTCATTTAAATTAGATATCTAGGAAGTCACATTAGTTATAACGACGAACATATCATAAAAATGATCCCCTGACGAAAGTTATAATCTGGAAATTAATTAATTTTCAAAAAAATATCTATTCTGATTACTAAATATCCTGATTAGAGAAAGGAAACAGCCTATCTAATGCACTGAAACAGACAATATAGGCAACCTTATAAACGCTGAAGGGTGGGGAAATTGAGGAATTTCGGGCTCATTAAACCTTCTACCCTACATCACCGTGCCACTCTCAACAGTCAGTCATTGACCATCCTTTGAATTTTTCTACGTGTTTACTACTTTAGTGAATTCTACAGTCAGGTAGCTGAGATAATTTGAAATTGGCGCTTTCCATTCGCTATATTCAATGTTTTCAATTTAAGATAAACTTTTGTGCACGTCAGTCAACCATTACTCAAGTACTTATTGGTACAAACAAGTGAATTTAGTTAAATTATGACAGTAAATGAAAGCGTAACCGATTTTATTTTATACCGGACATAACTTTTGTGTCATTTCTTTTCAAAGTTGACAGTGCCATGCTGCAGATATTTAATACACTCAAAGAACACTTGAAATTCACAGTCACACAAGAATACATCCAAGAGGCAATCGAACAAATTTGCTCTTCTGATAAACAAGTAAGTGTGTACACTTTTCTTCGTTGACTTTTCGCACGTGGGCAAGTACGTAAATCACAAGCACGTTATCTAATAGTTTATGATATTCAAGTGTGATCACGGGTCAATATCAGTTGAAGAGCCATTGAAAACCAGAAGGCGCTGGAAAGCTTCTCCATCATAGTTTGGAATGCTTCAACGATACGTACCCAAGACCCCACACAGGATCGAACCCATGGTCTTCAGGTTAAGAGGAAAGCTCGATGACCATTCAACCATTGAGACAGAATCTGAAAGCCCATAAATTCTAGGTTCCGTCACTTCGCGACTTTTAGAACTAGACATTGTCATTGAAGAGTATTTTGGAATTCTAGTGAGAAGTCGAGACTGGTCGGCCAAATCCCTACGAAATGACACTAGAATGGCAACGATATTATCTAATACTAATTTATCATCAAACTCTTCAGTCAGAAAATGGTCATTTCTTTGAACTATTCTCCTCATTCCTTTATAACTCCCCTCACAAGACACAATCTCCCTGTAATGGGGAGACTTGTAGATTAGATGTTGTTTCGTTCTCTGAACTGGTTCATTCAACTGTCATTCTAGAGTTCATCGTCAGACAGACTTATATTCTCTAGGTAGAAAATTACAATGAAATTTCTAAAGAACAATACCTGCTTCTAATGAGACATTTTTCAAATTTTGTTTAAAATTTAGTCATGCAGTAGGCCATTATTAACCAGTCAAGTTCTTTTTATTTTTGATAAGGAGCCTACTGAAGAGGGATAACTTGACTCAGTCTCCATTTACTTAGTTATTAATACAAATAACTCATTCTGAATCACAATAAGGAAATATTTTAAGCTCTTCTATTGAAATTACTTCGGTGCTCAACACAATTCAAGCTAATTCTTATCAGACAGAAATGGACTTATTTTCAAGATAATTTACCTTCACAAATTTACAAACAGCAATCAAAAATAAGTACACTTTAAGTAACAGAATTGTCCGTTATTCACTCAGTGTAGAAAACAGTTCATGTGTCACCCCTACCTGTCCATCAAATCATAACGAACCGAATCTCATTTCAGTTTCGCTTCAAGGAATTTAGTGTCACCAAATAATTCAAAAAATATCAGTTCTGGTTACTGACTGATCTCAGTTAGAGAACCACTGAAAATCAAGAAGTAGTGAACTGCTGTTTCTCCCTAATTTCGGACTCTCCATCAGTACGCACCCACTGGGATTCGAGCGCAGCACCTTCTGGCTACAAGGCGAGTTCGCAGACCATTCAGCTACCGTGACCCGTTCCAATGACCCATGAATCCCAACTTTCACCAATTCGTGATTTTAGTGTGACCACCAACCAGTGTTATCGGCGAGTATTCACTCTCACGTTCGACCTAATGGATACCAGTTGTCACGAATTCTCACTAGAACTCCTATAGCCACATTAACTTCTAGTACTAATCACTTTATCAGTAACTGGGCCAAAGTGTTACATGACCCAACTAATGTGCAACGAGAATAATTTGAAACTGTTTATTCGTTTACGTGATTTTCTGTTGATTTCTCTGAGAAAATTGATCAGCCTCATTTCTGTATACTGGTAGGAGAATCTGAAATAGAATAAAACGCGTATTCTGACTTCGCCTGTTAGCCTCAATCAAAAAGAAATAACTTCGAGTTAACGATTCAACCAAAAAGATGCAAATACTAGATATTATTTGGTGATTTAGAATTAAAAGTGAAACTCCAGTTTTTCTCATTACCTTTCATTCCAAGTAAAACAGAAGGTTTCAAGCCTGAGCTTCGATGTTTCTATAGCGATGGTGTCATTCTAATGGAGTGCAGAGGTGTTAGCCTCAAGCCCATCTATCACTCACTACTGGGATCGCCATTGGCTAAGCAGGATTTGAGAATGCATCGGCTAGGATTGGAATCCGGAGTAGGTACGCGGTTGGCAAGGATTCTGCCACTAAACCACTGACACATGAACTTCAGTTTGAGCTCAATTTTAATCGAAATCTCTTTTTCTTTTTCAAAATTTGTTTTAGTGCTTCAAAACATTTGAAAAGTATGCGAATACTTTAATGGAAGTCTTTCACTAAGTAAGTTGACATAAGTAAATTATTTAAATGTTGATGAGTCTGTAATTACTTTCTTCCTTTCAAAAATCCACTACCGAATTATAATTTATTTCGTACTCGTCAAAGAAACTATAAATGTCTAATAATGTAAGAAGCATCTTCATCAGGTTAAGACATCCAATGTGAAACTTTTAAAACGAGAGCAATCTAGCTAAATGTTGTACTGTAGTTTGAATTCACGTTGTCAAGCCATCTAGGAAGAAGGTGAGGTGAATTCTCACAGTTCTGTAGTCCTCAGAGACTCCAGTATTAGTACTCAATGATTATTCCTACAAAATTCTTGAAAAGATCGTGAAATTTCTCTATTGGATTATTGCCAAAGCTGTTAATCTAATTATTCTTCTAATGATTTCTCATCAAATTATCCAGGATGTAGAGAAAATAAACGGTATTATGCATGAACTAAACTTTTTGACACCGTTATCCTGATACATATGAATAGCTTAGCCACGAGAATCAGACTCCTCTGCCTCAAAAAAAATGTGTTGAACAGTTTTCTAATGAGAAAAAGTAGACTAGAGTATGACCAACTTCATAACATATTTTTTGTAATTGGTATTAGATGGTTAGATGCAGTCGGCAGAGTGCTCTCTCTTTTCTGGCACTTGTCATCGAAGCATAACTGAAACCTCACAGAGATTCGAACCTGCGTCACTCAATGCTGTCACTGACAGAATGCAGTCAGCATTAACACAAAGGACCTGAAGTGTGACCTGGGTGGCGAAGTTACAGTATCATAGCCAGAGTCAAGGCCTTCCAAATGTTGAAGTTAGGATCAGGAGTTTGGATTATGGTTAGAGTCAGGATTAGGTGGGAGAATAGTGTCAGAAATATCAACCGATCTCAAAGTACCATGACCTACAGTCACCTGGATGAATGGGTATATCGCACATGGTACGATTTCTCTATAGATCATCTGTGTATTGACTGGGAGACATTCTTACTTACAACACATAAGCTGCAACTATACAGTGTAATATCATGGTAGCAATACTTTTTAGTGTATTTTTCAACAATTATGCAACATTTTTGTATCTGAGTTCTGACTGTTTGTTCAAGGTTACTGTGGTTTCGGCTATGATAGTTTAACTTTGCTCAATTTTGATTTTCCCGTTAGTTGATCGATTAGGCCGTAACGGTCGGCATTACTTGACATGTCGGCCCCCACTACAGAAGATTCGACGATACCTGATGATTAACTTTGAAGTAATTTAGTTAATGGTGACTAACAGTGGAATCCAGGATGTGGATTTCGTCCTATTTGGGTCTCATCCACGC